GTTCTGCGTTAATCTCAGGTTGTAATCAATCAATCTGGAATTGAGTGAGAACCGGTGCAACGGTGGGTGACGCAACTCTACGGTGCGACGGTCGACTGCTTGGACTGATGATGGTGGCATCGTCGGTGGCTCATCGGCCTCCGATGGAGGGAATCTCGATGACGTTGTTTGAATCCTTGTTCTCCTTTCATTAATGAACAGACCCGGATGGTGAACCCTAGGACGAGGAATTTATTCGAGCCAGAAGAAATTTCTCTCCGAATTTTGAGCCGATATGTTCAGTCGTACATCTCTCAAGATTACATCTTCTCCTCAGTGTGAGTTTCAGATTTAAGTTCCCTCGATCCTTATGCATTAAGTATTGTTTGAAGTCTTATGCTTTGTTGTTCGTTGATTATTTGCCTTTGTTAAACATCAAAGATGTGCTCATTTTGCTGGGAGGGTTGTTTTACCGTCGATTTTTATTCTGCTTCTTTACCCTCCCCTTGTGCATTGGACTGTTGCCGACACTATGTGGTTCACGCACTCCAAAAATTGTGTGAGTTACACTGGTTATTGTTTTATCTGAATAATTTTTATGATAAAAATTAGGAATAATAACTATAATTACTGAAATCGTTTCTAAGTTGCGTTGGATCGTCAGAAATCGGATTTTCTTATATGGTTGCTTTACCCATCCATCCTGAAGCTCCAGCCTTTGTGGAGCAAGCTACAGAACAACAAATTCTTGTCACTGGTATCAAGGTACTACCTCACTGGTTCTTTTGGAGGATTCTTGTCATCATGTACTAACATCTTACTCATTCCTCCCATGACCACTCAGTTTCTTCATTTGGGTTTTGATTCATTTTTCTCTTCATCCGGCAGGTTGTCGACCTTCTGGCACCTTACCAGAGAGGAGAAAAGATTGATCTTTTTGGTGGTGCTGGTGTTGGAAAGACTGTACTTATTATGGAACTGATCAACAATGTTGCAAAAGCCCATGGTTATGTTCTTTTCTGATGCTTCATTCATCAATCTTCATTGTGCTCAGCCTTCTAAGATCTAATTGCTTTTTTATTTTCCTTTGTCAGGTGGTTTCTCTATCTTTGCCGGCGTAGGATAACGTACACGTGAGGGTTTGTAGCTTTGCTAAGTGCATGAATGTGAATATTAACACTTATCGTATGAAAATATTGTAGTATTTGCATTCTCTTGGCTACCTATGCTTTACGATTGGATAAAGTTCTTTTTGCCTCTAAAATTAAGCAGTGTTGTTACATCTTTATGATGTGTTAGCTGCTTTATATCAGGAGTGCGGTAATAGAACACAATCCTAAATATACATTTGCTTGGATTTGAGGTTTTTCATGTTTTGTAATTTATAGTTAGATGTTTGTTCACTTGGAAAAGCCTTTTTTTGTGTATTAAAGAAACTTCTTCATTTCATTGTTTTAAGATATAATACATTAATGTGTGTATTTTTGTGTTTGTTGTAAGGTTTAGGTTTTAAGATATAATACATTAATGTGTGTATTTTAAGCGCCCTAAGCTTTTTGTGGGTGGGAGGCAGATTTCCAATCTGTGGATTCTGAAAATCAACCTGAATTTCGGGATGCATTAGTTGACGCCAAAAATAATGTCACAGATTAATCCAACTGAAATTGACAGTCTGTGAACTTTTTCTTCTAAAAGAATCCTTGAGACATTTTGACATTTTCCTCCCTCGTGTCTGAATGATTTTCTTATCAATCAATATATTTAGTAATTGAATTGTGTTTTCTAACGTGAGTTTATTTTGATATGCTTGTAATCTTAGTTACACTAAGATAGTTTTACGTGTCTGAAAAGTTGTGTTTCAACAGGTCGAGATGTTATTCTTACCCCTACCATACTTCAATGTTGCCGACTCCCCCGCACATACAATACGACTCTATTGTCGGCAGGTCGTCGACCTTCAGTGGCTATCTCGGATCTCTTGAATCCCAAGGGGCTTCTGGAGCTGATATAAAGAAGGTAAAGTGATGGGTCCCTCAAAATTTAAGTTTATATGTGGTTTTCTGGGATTCTTTGTAATTTTAGAGCTTCTTGATAAAGGAATGTTAATCCACAAAAATACTTTAGTTTTAATATGCTGGGCTTTTGGACATTTACACCTTATCCTCCAAGTATCTAGGTAAAATGAAATTCTTCTCATCTGGCAGCACACATATTCTAATGAGCACTAACCAGTACGAAGTTCAAACTTTGTAGCAGATATTACAATACAAAGGCCACGCGGCGGGATAGATTGGCGTTGGAGAGGCGAAGTTCATCTTTCACGTGATAGCGACGGCGTGACTGCAATAAAGCGGATTTCGCAGGGGTAGTGAGGGGCTGGTGTGAGCTATGTTTTATGTTTCTTTCCCGTTTGTTTTGGGTTGCATAGCGATGAAATTTGTTTCTTGGTGGCTTTCTTCTTTTGTTAAATAAGATTTGTTTTTGTATTAATAGTACAAGCAAATTTGATATTTGTAGGTGGAATTGACCGGAAGCAGATATTCATGGGTTCACCTGAGAAGAGAACTCAGGCAATGGTACATAAAAAAATTCTTAAATACAAAGTTTGGCTTTCGTCCCATATATTTTAGAAGCAGTTACCAGACCATTCTAACGAGATCTTGAGTTGTTTACCGTTTCCAGTGTACATCAATCCAATATCCCGGCCTTTTGAATCTCGTTGTGAATTTGTCAAAAGAGTTTCGAATGCGTGACCTGCGACCATGTATTATATTTCATATGGTGGTCCAGAGGAACTATTGCATGCTGATTATTTTTCAAATCTCTGTTATGAATCACATGATTCGGTATGTCTTGTTTAAACACGTGCTAAACCATATTTCTGTAACATATTACAGAGGATTTTATTCTTTAGTCTTTAACGTGGACTATCCGTTAAGAATTAGTGTAATGGGTTTCCCTTTCGCAGGTTAAAATTCTCGCTTATGCTTCTGATACTACAATCTTACTGGAGCAAATTAACAATACCGAGAATCTTATGAAAAAGTACAAGAATCGGGACCACCATCATGGACAGTTATTGAGAAATTATGCTGATCAGAAAGGCAAATCACCTTTGCATGGTGAGGATGACCTATATCATTTATTTTATGTTACCTTATCAAACAACTAATCTATCTATGTGAATATCTGATAGTGTTTTGTTCTGTAATCATATGTGTAATCATATGTGAAGTTGAATGAAATTGTTAATTCAATGGGTGCTAAAGTGCGCAATTAGAATTCAGTTTCCCGCAAGCCGTACTGTATTGAGCTAATATATGAGTCAGGGTTTTAACAATTGTCCGGTTGAAAAGAAATAGGAAGCTTCATTAGACAGCTTTTGTTATATGCAAATCAGTATTTTCTGTTTAACAATTTGGATTTCATTGAAGTGG